AAAATAAAGGTATAGATTAAAAAAAAAAAAAAAGAACCAATGTAGATGGGTCACTAGACACCTTGGTACAAAAAAAAATTCAAAAAGAGAAAATTATGTGGTGACTTGATCTTACATAAAGTTCCTATTTGTGTAGTTAATAATTAACAAACCTTTTTTATTGAAGATTCTTGGTTTGAAAATATTCCTGCAATCACATAAGCGAAAGAATGAATAAAAGGCACTGGTTTATATGAGCCATAAATCATAAAATCATTATTTTTAATAAAAGGATATGGAGATTTTTGTCTTCTTTCTCAGCATTCTAAGTTTTTTTTTTTAAATTCACTAAATTTATATCAATGATAGCTAGCCTCCAGGATGACCCCAGTGATTCCAGCTTCCTGGTATTCACACCCATATAGAATCACCCTTCCTGTTTAGTGTGGACTAGACTTAGTGACTAGTTTGCAATGAATAAAATAAGACACAATGACTTAAAGAACAGGTCATAAAAAGCATGGTGACTTCATTCTTTCTCTATAAAGAGGTGCACACATGCCCAGGAACTCAAGTCACATGAGTGAGCTTGAAAAGGAACCTTTAGCTTTAGTCTAGTTTTCAGAGACTGTCTAATCCCAGCCAACATCTGGACTGCAACCTCATGCGGGACCACCCAGCCACACAATTCCCTGATTCTTGTAAAGGGAAATAAGAAAACTTTGGGGATGACAGAAACACTGCCTTTGTCTGTAATGGCACTTACATGTGTCCATACATTTGTTAAAACTCAAATTATACAATTGTGCTGGGGATGTAACTCAGTGGTAAGAGGGCTTGCCTAGCAAGTACGAGGCTCTGGGTACAAAATCCAGCACAACAGAAAATAAATAAATAAATAAATAATGGAGTGAGAATGTTAAAAAAATTATATAATTATACTGGATGTATTTTATTGAATGGAAAATATACTTCAATAAAATTGTTATTTTTAAAAGGTAAATGAACTCAAAATAAGCGACGCAGAATCATTTATGAAAAAGCAATGTCTTGGCTTTAAGAGTTAAGGGTGGTTAGGAAACAGAAGCTGCAATAACAAGCTATTATTACAAACTCACATGCCCTAAACTGACCAAACCTGCTCCTTGCTCTGTCTATAGCCTTTCCCATCTCAGATAATGGCAATCCCATATTTCCAGTTGCTCTAGCCAAAAAAACAAAGTCATTACTCCTTTTTTTCTCATCCAATCCATAAGCAAATCTTCTTGGCTTTTTCTCAAAACACATCCGTCTCTCTTCTGTCCACTGTATCACCCTGTTCTCTAGCAAAGATTGCTGAAATAGCCAAGCAGGTCTCCCTATTTCAATCTTGCCCCGTATGGTCTATTATCAATCAACCCGAAAGTTAGGTTAGTCAAAACCTAACCCAGACCATATCATTTACCTGCTCAAAAACATGAAACCACTCCCTATTTCACTCAGAATAAAAATCCATGTTGTTACAATAGCCAGGGGAACTGGCTCCTTGTTAAAGCTCTGATCTCATCTTCTCTCCTCCTTTTTTAGCCTACTCTACTCACATTGGATTGGTTTTTGTTTATCAAATATACATAATAACATGCTCACACCCTGTGGCCTTCATAGTGGCTGTTTCCTCTATCTGGAACATGTTTTCCCCCATATACCTACAGGGCTCATCATTCCCTAACCTCCTTTCAGGCCTCTGCTCAGATATGAACTTCTTTACCCAGACTATCCTATTTAAAACTGTAAATATCCTGCTTAGAATAAAAATATCCAGCTGATTAGTAAAGAGAAATAAGCTGCTTCAGGAAGTATTATGGTTTGAATTCAGAAAATCCCATAAAGACTCATATGTTGAAGACTTGGTCCCCAGTGCAACAATTTTTAGAGGTAGGGCTTTGGGGGAAGTGATTAGATCATAAGGGCTCTAACCTCATTAATGGATTAATTCACTGATAAGATTCATAGCTGAAAATACTACTGGGAAGTGGAAGAAACTGGAAGGTGGGACCTAGATAAAGTGAGTAGGTTTTCAAGGGCATGCCTCTGAAGACTTTGTCTTGCCCCTGGCTCCTTTCTCTCTGCCAGCCATAAGGATAAGCAGTTCTGATTTACTATACCCTTTTGCCATGATGTACTACTGCCTCACCACAAGTCCAGAAACAAAGGAACCAACTGTCCATACAATGAAACCCATGAAACTGAGCCAAAAATAAATCTTTCCTCCTTTAAGTAGTTTTATCAGGTATTTTGTCATAGTGATGAAACATTGACTAACACAGTAAGTGAGGTTGAGAGAATAAGGAGGATGACACTGATTTGGGATCTGATATAGGAGAAGAGGCAAATTATTACATTTGAGGAAGTTCCTTCAATTTTCTTTGCTTCTAGTCCTAGTCATATAGGTACAGAATCAAAATATAATGGTTAAAGAGAACATAAAAAGAAAGGGAGAAATAATCTTAGCTCCATGTATGAAAAAATCCAAGACAGATTTTTTTTCTCTAAATTCACTGGAGTAATTTATCCCATAGCATACTAGGAGGGTTTTTGTTTTTCCTTAAAACGTTTTATTCTTCTAGATCCTGCTGGTATAGTACAGATGTTGGCAAAGCTATAGTTGAGAAAAACATGATCTATACATAAACACAAATTTCCATCCAAGGGAAAGATACTGATTTCTGCCAGTGTAACCATTCTTGAACAGAGTCACACTTATTTGTTCACATATTGTCTCTGGCTTCTTTCACACTGTAACAGCACAGGTGAACAGCAGCAACAGAGACCATTAGCCTGCAAAACTGAAAATATTTACTATTTTTCCCTTTACAGAAAGAAAATTTCTTTTTCTCTTTCTTTCTTTTTTTTGTTTTTTTTTTTTGTTTTATGGTGCTGGGGATTGAACCCAGGGCTTTATTCATGCAAGGCAAGCACTCTACCAACTGAGTATATCCCAGCCCTCAGAAAGGAAATTTCTAAAATCAATTATAAAATATAAATTCCTGATAGATTTGAAAATCTTCTAAATACCAGAATAAACCTTCAAACTTTTTTTTTTTTTTTTGGCTTGTGGGGAGGTGGGGATTGAACTCAGGGGCAGTCAGCCACTAAGCCATATCCCCAGTCCTGTTTTGTATTTTATTTAGAGACAGGGTCTCACTGAGTTGCTTAGTGCCTTGCTTCTGCTGAGGCTGGCTTTGAACTCATGATCCTCCTGCCTCAGCTCCAGAGCCAGGCATGCATGCACCACCATGCCTGGCCCCATCTGACATTTTTGATATTGTTAGTCCTATAACTGAAAACACATCAAAAGCTTTAAATCCAAGAATAATGTAGTCTTCAAACTAGTGACCAGATATCATTATCTAATTCAAGTAAAACGCCACCTCCCAGTAGCACTGACATGCCAATCTTCAAGTGTTAAGTAATTTGGCATTAAAACTAAGGGGAAGGCAACTTTTTTTTTGATATATGCCTTTAAGAAACTGATCTATCTAGTGTTTTCTTTTTTTGACAAAGCCTCACTATGTTACCCAGGCTAGCCGCAAACTCCTTGGCTCAAGTGATCCTCCTGCCTCAGCCTAACAAGTGCTAGAACACTTGGGCTAGAACTAGATTCAACAGCTGGTTCTGAGGAAATGCCTTAAACAAGAAAATTTTTTTTCTTCATCTAGTCACACATACATGCACCAAAACAGACAAAGACCAATAATCCTACAATGATTTTTCAAGTTTCCCCTTATATGTTAAGAATTACAAAATAGTAAAATATGCAACATTTGCTTTTAACTTTCTAATTAAACAAGCTAATACACAGGAAAGCAAATATTACTCATTTTTTAAAATCCTGTCATCTATTTTCCCTCTCCTAAATCCAAAGATTAGTTAGTTACATGTACAAGATCAAACTTAATTTCATAAAACAAAAAATTCTTAATTGCATATATAAAAAATTAGAAATCCTTTTCTGATACAAAATACCTTCATTAATATTTAGATATTTCTTACATTTGGCAAATAAAATGATAGATTATGCCATTCATGATGACACTTTGAAAAGTAATTTTCAAACAGACAGAAATAGGTATGGAAACACTCTGTAAAGGAAACAAGAAAGACGGAAGATAATATGGATCCCCAAAATTCTTTTTAAAATTTTTATTTCAAGAAGTCAGCTCCTTGACTTCTTAGTTAATGATCAACCAATCCAAGTTATTATTCATTAAAATTTCACCACAAAGTCCTGTACCTTTTACTTAGATTTTAACAGGGCTCTCAGCATAAATATTTCTACCTTTAAAAAAATCTTTAGCCTAAACTACTTCTTTTTTTAAAAAAATACCTTTATTTTGTTTATTTAATTATTTTAATTTTTTTTTAAAATGTGGTGCTAGGGATCAAACCTGGTGCCTCCCTGTGCTAGGCAAGCACTCTATCACTGAGCCACAGCCCAACCTCCTTTTGCCTAAACTTCTAAAATAAAAATTGTAAGAAATCTGTTTTCCCAGAAACTTTTTCAAAACAATTTTTTCCAAGTTGAAGTTTTAAAAGTTTTTCTCAAAATTAATTTTGCTACAATAGAATTAGAAAGTTACCCATGAGCTACTTCTAAATACTGTGAATTTGTAAGCCTATAGAGCCTTCCCATTTTTCTCTTAATTTCATTTTTTTTACAACACTGTAGTCACACATATTTTAGTAAACACAAAAAGTTCTTGTCAACACTTTTAAAAGAATTAGGTTTTAAGTGTTATTGTAGGAAAGTTCACTGCTTTCCTTATGGGCTACAACTTTCTTCGATGAATATTATATTCGTGAAATTAGTAATGTGTGATATAGTATAACAGAGATTTTAAAAACACTGCATTACATCTTTATAATACGGAATGAAAGCAAATCTGATCATATACCTGGGTAACCCACGATTGCTAATAATGTATATCATCAGAAAACCTTTAATGAAAACAACTCACCAATTGAAAAGAAATGTTTCCTACCTTGCCTGCTTCTCTTTCTAAGTCGACATACTCCCGGCTAGGTGTTTGTCGCTGTTCTCCCTGCCAGCTGGCCGGAAAAAACTGGAGAGACAGATTGGTTCCTGTGGCCACAAAAGCCTTTTAGAAAAATCAATACAAACAGGATCAGGAGCAGGACATTACATAAATTATGCAGGCAGTCATTTATTTTTACATCAGTTTATGTCTTAAGCCAGGCAGCACTGAGAATACTTAAAAGTAAAAAACATGCACTCATCATTTTTCTTAAGTATTAAGTTACAAACATCTGATTCCATTTTGAGGACATTTGCCATTGGCTGCTTAAATATAAAATCAGACATGGAATCAATACTTTCTTTCAGGTCATTTTTTGCTGACGTTAGGATCTTACATTGCTAATGTCTAACCAGAAACCACTGTCCTTGCATTTTAAAACTTTTAAATATTTTTAAATGTGAAAACCACTAGTGAACTAAAGATTTTGAATTTAAAAGCATATCACAATTTAAAGTTATATGATACATTTAATCTTTCTTGATTTCCTTCGCTCAAGGAAACACTGAATGGTGTGTGATACAAAAAAAAAAAAAAATGCAGTAAGTACATTTTTGCCAGGCGTGGTAGCACAGGCCTATAATCCCAGTGGCTCCGCAAGCTGAGGCAGGAGGATCGCGAGTTCAAAGCCAGACTCAGCAAAAGTGATTCACTAAGCAACTCAGTGAAACCCTGTCTCTAAATAAAATACAAAATAGGGCTAGGGGTGTGGCTCAGTGGTCGAGTGCCCCTGAGTTCAATCACAGGTACCAAAAAAAATAAAAAATAAAAACCAGAAGAGCATTTTTAAATGGATTTTAAAACCCACTATATCCAGGAGCTGGATGTAGTGGTGCATGCCCATAATCCCAACAGCTCAGGAGGCCTCTGAGGTAGGAGGATCACAAGTTCAAAATCAGTCTCAGCAACTTAGTGAGACCCTGTCTCAAAAAGTAAAAATGGACTGGGGATGTGGCGAAGCACCCCTGGGTTCAATCACCAGTACCAAAAAAAAAAAAAAAAGAAAGAAAGAAAGAAAAAAATGCACTAGGGATTGCTTTTCTTGTTATAAACCATACATTAGCATGTAATGTGACAGTACTTCTTTCTAAAACGTTAGATGATTTAAAAAAATATGCACTTTTCTAAAATTTTACTATAGAAGAAGTAGCTCTAACTACAACTAAAAGTACTGAGTGTTCATCTAATATTTATAGAAGATTTGGATGGTTCAGCTCAGACAGAAGAGTCTAAAACCATTTCATTAAGTGTCATTCCATGTAGCCCCTGAGCAATTTAACTCTATATTTCTCCCATGTAAAAAACAGAAATAACATTATTCCTCCTATTTCTTTCTGAAAGAAATAACAAGCAGGTTTTTTTTTTTTTTTAAATACATTTTCATTGTCTAAATGTAAACTCTTCTTTGCTGAAACCGGAAAGTTTTGTTTGGTTTATTTTACTGATTACATTCTGAAGCATCATCACTTGAAACACAGTCTTCATCTGAAAGCAAGGGCTTCACATTTTGAACCATTTGTTTAAAACCATTAGCTGATATAACTATCCACTAGTTCCCCTACTGGTTAACAGTTTATTCTGTTTTTAAAGGTAAAAATTATACTTCCTATTTCTATTACTGGTACTGTAGGTACTTTGTCAACTCAACTGCTAAATCTCTAGACATCTTTGATGGCATTTCTTTCATCAACTGGGATGCCCTTTTCTTGTGGTAATTACTTTCTATGACTGGAAACTGAAATAAACTAACATCAATATTACAATAGTAATTTTTTTAAAAAAAATCTTTCCATGCACTATCAGAATAAGTTTTATCCATAATAGCACAACCATTAGTCAAATGAAAAGCAGATTCTAGAAGAAAAACTGCCTAGGCAGTATGACCTGAGGCATACTTCAGTTTCCTCACAAATTAATATTTGCACAATGCTTAGAACAGTACCAAGTAAACACCATATAAATGTTTTCTGAAAAATATAACCTTTGTCTGTCTGAGATAGGGGAGGAAGGTTGTCTGTTATTGTTCAAGCTGGCTTCCAATTTGTGAGCACAGCCGTCCTCCTGCTTCAGCCTCCCCAAGTAGCTGGGACTATAGGTGTGCCCCAATGCACCCTGCTTAAGAGAAATAACTTTGAGATTAATAAAAGTGGCAACTTTTAGCTTCAGATAATGAAATTCTCCCAGAACAGAATGGTAGCAGATAAGAGATTAAACCCATGAATGAATGTCCTGTGTCAAAACCTCTGAATCACATTTCTTCAGTACTTAGTTTATCCAGTAGCAAACCCTTCTACTTCCAAACCAGCATAGTGCTAAGACACTCTGAAGATCTTATTACTTCATCTCCTGTTTGAATGCAAAACTCAGAAGAGATTTCCTGCTTTACCATTTTCTCACCAAGATCCCTCCCTGAGAGAAAAAGTGGTAAAAACTAAAAATTAATCATTCTAGAATAGTGTTTTCCAAATTTACTTTACCCAATAACTTTTTTTTTTTTTTTGAGGTGCTGAGGATGGAATCCAGGGCCTTACCAATGTTAGGCAAACACTCTACCACTGAGCTACAGTGGAATCCCTTTTTAAATAGAATACCTACACATAAGAGTCAGGAAATTCTGTTTGAAAATATTAAAATATTACAGTGGAAAAATGTCAGTATGCAAGACTTCAAAGTTGTCTTGACTGTATTTTATAGTTTTCACAAATTTAAAAAATGGCACACCTTATGCCAATCCAATATACTTTTAACCATTGAATCTTCAGGATTAAAAATATATATCAGGGGGCTGGGGATGTGGCTCAAGTGGTAGCGTGCTCGCCTGGCATGCGTGCGGCCCGGGTTCAATCCTCAGCACCACATACAAACAAAGATGTTGTATCCGCCTATAACTAAAAAATAAATATTAAAATTCTCTCTCTCTCTCTCTCTCTCTCCTCTCTCACTCTCTCTTAAAAAAAAAATATATATATCAGTTTTTACCTTCCCCATAGTAGAGTCAACATACCCCTGTAAGCATTTTTTTAATTATTCGTGTTGAAGACATCTCCAATATCCTTACTACAATAACAATTCAAAAGAGGAATAAATCAAATTTCACCAAAATAAATTCTAGCTCTCACCCACAATCACTATTATTTCATTATGTGCTAAAAAGTCTGAACAGGGGCTGGGGTTGTGGCTCAGAGGTAGAGCGTATGCCTACCATGCGTGAGGCACTGGGCTTGATCCTTGGCACCACTTTAAAAAAGTAAACAAACAAATAAAATAAAGGTACTGTGTCCATCTACAACTAAAAAATTAAAAAAAAAATGTAAATGTAAAATAAATTCTTTACTAATCTCCCTGGTACACAAGATGTTAAAAATGAGGGGGAAAAAAAAACAGCAACTGGGGCAATGGAATAATTGGGGAATTGAGAACTATGTTTATCTTTACCATATATGACCACTGTCAAATAGAAAATAATGCCTTTTCTACTACTAAATAGGTAGAAACCAACCTGTTCATAAGTCATAAGATAAATTTCAGGCCTTAAATTATGTAGCCTCTAAATTCAAATAATCAGTACCTCTAATACAAAGGGCCTTTTGCAAAGCACCTGTTTTTAGAGGGGTTTATTCAGGCTTAGTACAGTCTCCAACCTCTAGGAGCTAAAGATCCTGTAAATTAATTAATTAAATACTGGGTATTGAACCTGGGGAGTTTTATCACTGAGCTACATACCCAGCCCTTTTTATTTTTTATTTTGAGACAAGGTCTTGTGCTGAGGGCCTCACTAAGTAGCTGAGGATCGCCTCAAACTTGCAATCCTCCTATTTTAGTTTCCAGAGCAGCTGGGATTACAGATGTGTGTCACTGTGCCCAGGCAGGATCCTGTAATTTAAACTGGGCAACAATGATTTAAAAGGGAAAAAAAAGGAAGAGAGGGGAAAAAAGAAAAAGAAAAAAGTGAAATTTCTCCCCAAATATTACATTACTCAACAAACAACATGTGCCAGTGCCATCTTAAGTGCAAATCTTATAGAAATCAATCTACATCCTTCAACCTTTAATATTTCTCAGAAAACAAATTAAACAAAACTTATTAAAATTTGTAAGATCAGTTATTTGGAAGGGGAGAAGGCCTAATTCACCCTGGAAAGAAATTTATGACAAATATAACAACCTATATAACACTGCTATATTTTAACAATATTAAAATATAACTCTTCAGATATACTATAGGCTAAATTATACCCTCAGTTCACAATTACATGCAGCAAAGTATGATACAACTAAAAGCACCCTACAGGCTATGCTTCACTGGTTTTCAGAAAAAAATCTCAGCTTTAAAAATGTGACAGCATTTTGTATCTCATCATTTACTTCCGGGAAATCCTTTAATTACGTAAACTATTATCCATCCACCTTTTGCAAAAGAAAACCCAGGCAAAGAATGACAGTCACTGGACCAACTAATGAATGATTCTTTCCTTCTATCACTCAGTGCCAAAATCAAAAAGTATTTGTTTGTTTTTAAGAGAGAGAGAGAATTTTAATATTTATTTTTTTAGTTTTTGGCAGACACAACATCTTTGCTTGTATGTGGTGCTGAGGATCGAACCCGGTCCGCACGCATGCCAGACGAGCGCGCTACCACTTGAGCCACATCCCCAGCCCCAAGTATTTGTTTTATACACAAATATTACAATTATCAATAAACTTGGAGGTGGACTTAAAACTGGAGTTCTCTCATAATATACATTAATGATCAAATATTTTAAAAGCTCCTCAAAAATTTATCATCTATCAGTTATATAATTCCAAAAACATTGTTTAAATATTAAATACTGTTTAAAAATAAATCTGATTTTTGTGAAGAAACAGGAGAATTTTATAGTATATGAATTACACCTCAATAAAAACAAATAATTGATTGTAAAAGGGGAGGAATAAATTTTCCAACATGCCTTCCTACTGTTAACCTCTGTTCAAATAGCACCTTAGCTTCAAGTCTCTGCCAAAGCAATGGGCTCAAGTCATAATGCAAGATAAAAAGAGTCCATTATACAGTGCTTCAACATTTTTTAAACGAATAATCAATCTCTTTTTCTATAGTTTCTTCCCATCGTTGCCTCATTATACCTCCAATTGGACAAAAGGCGATGAATGGAGGACACTTGTTTTTTTTTTTCAACCCTAGGTTTGATGGAGGTGAGGCATCAAGTCTATCACACCCAAACGGGCCTCCAGGAGATCAACGGTGGTTTTTGCAGAGCCATATGCGGTTCTTTAGGTACTGCAACACTAAACAGGATATGTTTGGGGGGGGAGAAAAAACAACTGATAGTTTTTTTCCCCCGATTCTCTTGAAGCATTATATTCCAGGAAAAAAAAAAATTAAACGTCCTGTAGGCCCTTTTTCTTTTAAACCTCCCTTTTCTATCAGGACAATAGATAACTGGAGTAAAGATTTATTCTCATTCTGGGAGCGAAAGAGCTTCACATATAAATCTACCAACAAATCCAGCGTCTAGGAAACAAACTATCGCTGACCTCCAATGAAGCTCCAGTCCTTTTCCCGAGTGGGTGTTTTCTTCCCGTACATACCCCGAAGACCCCCCCACCCCCATCGGTGTCACAGCCTATATAAGGACCTTTGCTTATTTACTTTGGCTCGGGCTGGAGCTCCACTCGCGGTGAACTGTGCGCCAGGCCGGCTCTGGGAAACACGAGCCACCGCGGCGGGCTACGGGGAAAGCGTGTCCCCGCGAGGAGCGGGCCTGCAGCGTCTGGTTTCGCCTTCTGAATCCCGAGTAGGAAGTGAGAAGGCGCCCGCTCAGTTCCGGGAGCCGCGGCATCCGCGGCGCCGTCCGGAACCCGCCTGGGCCGCGCGGTCCCCGCGCAACAAGTGACCCGCGCGCGCCGGGGCCCCGCCGACTTACGATCTCCGAGCGGCCGTCGCGGCAGGCGTTCTGGAAGCGCGCCTGGCGCTCCTCGTGGGGCCGGTCCCTGAAGCCGGTGTACTTAATCTGTAAGGCAGAGACGGCCGAAATCAGGAGCGAAATCTGCGGCGCCGCCCGCGCGCCTTCCCGCCCCGCGCAATGCCGATAAGGGCAAGCAGAGCCTGTGGGCAGACGGCCGCCCGGGCGAGATTGCCCCTCCGCGGGCGCGCCGACCCGGGCTTCCCGGGGACCGCGCCGCTCAAACTTTTCTCTGCCCGGGCCCACTCGGGGCGCGTCGCGGCCTCCGCGCCGCCCGCCCGCCTTACCTCACACTCGCGGCTCAGCTTTCTGAAGAATTCTTCATTCTCGAACTTGCTTCTCTGGTCGGGCACGACGCGCGGCATCTTCCCGCCCTGAGGCCGTGCCGGCCGGCCGGGCTACGGGGAAGCGCGGGCACCCGCTGGCCGGCTCCGCGCTGACCGAATGACCGCCCACCCGCGGCGCCCCTTCTCCCGCTCCCCTTTGTTTCAGGCGCCCGCCCGTGTGGGCTCCCGCTCCAGGGAGTCTGAGGTGCCACCGCCCGCTAGAGCCCAACCCACGCCGCCGTCGCCTCAGCCGTTGCCTGCCGCCCCCGGCCGCCGCCGTCGCCGCCGCCGCCACTTCCTCTCGCCGCCCACCTCGCTCGATCGGCCGCCCCGCCCCCGCCGGCCCCACCCCTCCTCCTCGCGCCCGCCCGCCTCAAACTCCTGCAAACAAGACGCACCATTCACAACTCCGCGGTCCGCGCCGCGCATGCGCCACCCTGTAGCTTGTGCGGCGGCTGGACTGCAGGGAACCTGGACTCCTCCCGCAGGGCGGCCTCCTTCCCCTTGCCTGTCCGCAGGCCACTGGGTGTGTAGCTGCCCAGCTGGCCTTTGGCAAGCGACTGCGGCTCCCGCGGGCCTTACTTTATGCCCTTACTTGACCATCTGGAACTTCTGGAGTCTCCAGTCATGCGAAGAAACTGTGATTGCCACTTGAACGTTAGGAAACCTAAGTCCCTGGACACTTTTCATCCCCAAACTGACGGGGAAGAGTGTAGTCTATGCACATCTAAGATAAAGGTGGAAGCAGAAAGCCAACTGAATCGTGGTGGACAGATCCAGGTTTTTGGAGTCTGGACGTGCCTTAGATGGAATCCTTCATGACTCTCCTGCCCGCTAGCTGGGCCTTAGACAAGTATTGAACTGCTAGGTCTCAGATTCCTATTTTCCAAAATACAGACACTCATAAGCTCATTGTGTTAGCATGAGAACCTTTATGTAAGCCTAGTATATGATCACATGATGCGTGTTCAATAAATTTGTTTCTAAAGTACAAGCCATTATAAATAAATATATATACATATAATTGCCAATTCATAATTCACCCAAACATGCAATCAGATCCAAGAAACAAGATCTACAAGTTCTAGGAATGTGGTTTAACCCAAGCTGGAGAAAGTCTGACATCAAGTTTATGGCATAACTTGATTCAAAATTGATCCTCAATTAATCCTGATCCTTAAAGTTCTAGTTTGTCAAAAAATAAGTCCAATATAGAAACTAGATGCCAACTCTGAAGGCCAGTAGCTGACCAGATTTCAAAGGAATGTGAGGATGCACCCAAACTCACAGAAATTAGTGCCATGGTCAATTGGCAATCTGCCTGAGGGCAGGATTTGGCAGAATTTCTTTCTTTCTTTCTTTCTTTTTTTTTAAAGAGAGAGAGAGAGAGAGAGAGAGAGAATTTTTAATATTTATTTTTTAGTCTTCGGCAGACACAACATCTTTGTTTGTATGTGGTGCTGAGGATTGAACCCGGGCCTCACGCATGCCAGGTGAGCGCGCTACTGCTTGAGCCACATCCCCAGCCCCATGGCAGAATTTCTTATATTTGTCCAGTCCAATCTCATTTTTACAGGTATGTAACTCAGCTAGGATAACCAACTGTCCTGGTTTGCCAGGGATTGTCCTGGTTTTAGTAATGAAAGTCTTATGTTCCCCAGGAAACCACTCATCACCTAATAAACCAGAATTGTTTTTCACCCTTAGGTCTGAAGAGTGATTGCCCATAAGAACAGTGATTGCCTAAGGTCGACGTCTTTTAGCAAAGTCAAATTTGTAAGATGGTCAGATGTGGTGGCATGCACTTGTAGCCCCAGCTATTTGGAAGGCTGAGGCAAGAGGATTACTTGAGCTCAAGAGGAAGAAGGGGATGAAAGCGGGGAAAATGAAAAAAAACCAAAAAACTCTGTAGTCTGGTTGTTTCAACAGACACATTCCTGAATAGCAAACACAGAATCAGCTCCTTAATAGACAGACACTGTGGCACACATCTATAATCTTAATGACTCAGGATGCTTCAGCATGAGGATTGCAAGTATGAGGCCAGCATGGGCAACTAAACAAGGCTCTAAGCAACTTAGACCCTGTTTTAAAATAAAAATAAGCCAGGCATGGTGGTTCATGCCTGTAATCCCAGTGGCCTGGGAGGCTGAGACAGGTGCATTAAGAGTTCAAAGCCAGTGTCAGCAAAAACAAGGCTTGAGATCCTGTCTCTAAATAAAATACAAAATAGGGCTGGGGTTGTGGCTCAGTGATTGAATGCCCCTGAGTTCAATTCCCAGTACCCCCCCTCAAATAAATAAATAAATAAATAGGGCTGGAGATGTAGCTCAGTATTAGGTAAAGCATCTCTGGGTTCAGTCCCCAGTACCCCTCCAACACCTGGTACTGGGAATTGAACCTAGAAAAAAGAAAAAAGAATTAGCTCCTTTTAAGGAGTATTTCCCAGCCCACACCAAGTCTATGTAAATGATTGGACATGAATAGAAAGAGTGTAGACATGGATGCCAACAACTAATGGATCTTTATCTGTCTTAGAATTTTCCCTCAGTTCTCTTTCAACTGCAAGGGACAGAAGCACAGTTACAATTACAAAAGTAAAACTAAAAGGATATATTTTATTTCAGTAAATCAGAGGGAAGGAGACAGGTAAACACCATCTTTTCTTTTCCATTTCTTCATTTCTCCTCACTGTTTAATTCTCTCAGGTTCTCTTGGATCACATTCATTTCCTGGCAAATGATGGAAACAGCCACTCCTCCAGGGTCTCATAAAATTATCGGGAAGGACTTTGATTGCTCATCCAGGGTCATTCATTTTCCCCTCTACCAAATCATTAAGTCCAGAAAGATGTGGTGATATGACTGGCAGCTTAGATCATATGCCTTCCCATCAAGGATTGGGGGCCTATGGTTGGCAGCCTCAAAGAGAATCTGATGATTGAAAGGAGATAAGCTGTTTCCCCAAAAGGAAATAGTGAGTGGGAATGCATTACAGGGCCACTGAATAGTTTATCTTGGGTATATCTGGCAAAGAATGACTTTTCTTTCTTTCTTCTTTTTTTTTTTTTTTTTTTTTCTGGTACTGGGGATTGAACCTAGAGCCTCAACTATGCTAAGCAAGCTCTCTACCCCTGAGCTACATCCTCAGCCCAAAGGATGCCATTTTTACTTGCCACATAAATGTTTTGATCAAATTGGTTGGAAAATTCCAAATTAGCACAGGCAAAATGCAGACAAAACCAGAATTGAATATCTGCAACTTAAGTTGGGAGGTCAGTGAGGCAGTCTCTACCCCAGGACACCAAGGCACAATTAAATCTTTTACAAGGAATAGAAGTTTTCATGCATTAACTGCCTCTTCTAGTCCAGTTAAGAAAAGCTTTGGCCCAGTGGCTCAGGAAGCTGAGGCAGGAGGATCAAAAGTTCAAATCCAGCCTCAGCAACTCAGCAAGGCTCTAAGCAACTTAGCAAGACCCTGTCTCAAAATAAAATATAAAAAGGGCCAGAGGTGTGGATCAGTGGTGAAGCCCCACTGGCTTCAATCCTTGTTAAAAAAAAAAAAAGAAAAGAAAAGAAAGAAAGAAAGAAAAGAAAAGAAAAATCTTTGGGCATTAGGACAACATGACCATTGTGTAAATGAGAAGATGATGAGAAGATGATGACTTTGCTCCCAGTCAACAGTGAAAACCAGAGAGGCTCACTGCTGGAGTTTTTGCATTTGTCCCTCATGGTAGAAGAGAAAAAGGAAGAATGGGGTGGGGAGAGAATTTTACTTATCCTGAGATTTGACAAGTAAAAGGTCAAAATCAGGGGAACTGGACCTGGATGGGTGGGAGTGCAGAGCAGGCCTTGGTGCTCTAATTGTCAGTTGAATGGAGGTGGGGAAATCTAAGGGAAAGGAATGGCAAAGCCTGCCAAGCCGACTCAGATCAGCAGCTACCTTTGGCAATCCCAGGCCACAGGGTAAGCCACGCTCAACACTGTCTGACATACAACCAGCGGGGGTGCCAGGAAATAAGCCACAGGATGAAGGAGTGGAACACTCCTCAGCTGACCTCTGTATGTCTGTATTGTTGCTTAAATGTTTTTTCAGGCCAGGCACAGTCCTGCAGGCCTGTAAACCACAGATACTCAGGAGGCTGAGGCAGGAGAATGGCAAATTCAAGGCCAGCCTGGGCAACTTAGGGAGACCTTGTCTCAAAATAAAATTTAAAAATTTATAATTTATTTTAAACATAGGATTAAAAGAAACTTATAAAGGAAAGTTTCACTTATGTCAGGCATACTTAGGGCCATGTTCCTAACAGTACTGGCTGATTACCAGTTGAGTAAGGATTGATCCAGACCCCACCCTGTGGAGGAGCTTACTAAAAACCAGCTCTACTAAGGCCCTCAGATAGAAGCCTGGGATGTCTCTTCACTGCCTAGAAACCTCCGGCACCCACCACCCCCAAATCTCACTAAATTCTCTGATGCTTTGCTACCTGAACCTTTCTTTCCAAGAGTACGTCTAGCCCATGGGCCCCTTGGACCATTTCCTTACTTTGTTAGATGAGTGGCTGCTCCTGCAGGACTCTCAAGCTGATCTTGAATGGATGAGTAGACAATACACAATAAAGTTGAACAGGGGATGGGGAACCCTCAGTTGTCTAGCCCGACTATGAAGCTGGGTACTTTTATGTCCCTATCTCAGTTGATTCACTCAGCCACCTTATAAATCAGGCCTTTCTGTTCCCCTCAGACAGATGAGGAAATAGAACCTCTGGAAAGGTAAGTAGGTTTTAACTCTAACCCAATGGCATAAGACAGTGACAAGACCCTGACTCATCAGAAATAACAAATTGGCTAAGCATTGGGGTAAATCATCTTCATCTACTCCTCACCACAACCCTGCAGGTTTGGTATTATTGACTTTATTCTACAGATGAGGAAACTGAGGCTCAGAGGGATTGAGTGTTCCCAGGGTTGTAGTCTTAACCATTCTACTTTGCTGCTGAAGATGCCAAAAGTCCTGCCTGTCTCCCTCACTGAACTGGCACCACATGGAGAGCTGTGGCTGTAGTCTTTCCTCCTGAAGCACCAACTATGTTGCAAAAGACTCTTCAACAGGTTGAATAAAGGGGTCCTACTGTAGTTGTTGTGGTAGGATATGGCTGTTCCTTTGAGGATTGTTCATTTCTGCCCCAGAACCCAACTCTTTGTCCCTCTTTGGTTTGGAAGGTCAAGGCCTGGATGTCCTGCCTTTCCAGGTCAGCTGAATGGATGGCTTTATC